CATGTTCCAGAGCGAAAGGGAGGAAGCAGGCTTTGAAGAGTTACAACCAATGCAAAAACATCGCTGTAATGGGTAACGGTTTGATCCCAAAAAGGCCGAGCAAATCCGAGAGGAGAGCGGATAGGACGACAAAGATGCTCGTCGCCGTGTTACTTCTATTCCTGGTCACGGAGATACCTCAGGGTATTCTGGGCCTTCTATCAGGTGTTCTAGGCGATTGCTTCTTCCGTAATTGCTACCATAATTTCGGCGAGGTGATGGACATCCTCGCCTTGTTAAATGGCGCCATCAATTTCATCCTCTATTGCTCCATGTCCAGGCAATTCCGTACCACTTTCGGCCAGCTGTTCAAACCGAGGATCATGAAGAAATGGCAACCTGCCACGCAACAAACGGACGTGCAAAGCACTTATGTATGATGCAGGCTGAAAGGTCTAGAGACCACGCGTCTTTAGAGATATTTAGAGTAGTGTTATATCTCTCTTCCGTAATTTTTAATCTTATCCTTGGAAATTGGTATTATGGCGTTACGGTAGCGTATATTACGTAATAGAGAATGATGGAGATGGAAATGTAAATCTGCATCATACACGATAGATAATAGGGTGGAGTATAAATTTTTTCTTCGCGTATAATGTGATTCACCTCGAATGGTGTTCATAATATAGTAAATTTTTAATATCTCACCTCTAAGAGGAAGATCGAATTGATTGATTTGCCGTTTCGAACTCCACCTTGTTGCTTGATATTATCGAAATCACGTAATTTTTGCAAATGCGTAAAGAAGGATAATAACGAAAAATATCGAATTATATTAATCTTCGCGTTTCATTTTATCGTGTTTCTCAAATACAATTAAATTTAGTAATTTATATATGTATATAAAACGCACGTAAAAATACATGTTTTTTTTATTGAAAAACGAGATGTTCTTAATAGACGTGGAGAGAAAATAAAATAGGTGAAACAGGAGGTTGGACTTCAATGGGGCAACGAATAATAGAATTTGTTCTACCTAAAAACAAATGCTGAAAGTTTGAACCCTGCCTTTAGAGAATTTCACAATCAATTGAACTTTCCTTTAAGTTTCGAGCTATTACTGGGACTGACAGGTCTGTTAAAAAAGATAAACTTGATCTCGTATTGAACTAAGGGAAACATAAACTTGATCCGTGTTCAAGTTTAATCGAAAATTCTGTAGCGGATTCAATATTGGAATTATTATTTTTCGATATTTTTCTTCTTTACTTTTTGTCAATCATCAAAAATAATACCATAATTGTTAATATTGTGGAAAACGATCGCGCGAATGTTAATTATTAAAATTAATATTAATGATATTGATATAATAATCGTTAAAGAACGAAACGAAATAGAGAGCAAATATGAAGAGTAAATGCACGACGAGATTTATCAACATTTATTTCTCTCTTGCTTTCGTTTTATTATTCGTGTCAATAATATTCGTGTAATTTATTAATACAGACTATTGCGTGACGTATTTTCGTGTAAATTTAGATATCACTGAGATATTATATAAGCTCATTTGTAAAACAAATATCGGAACGTTTTACGTTTGAGAGCTTCGTTCAATAAATTATGCATCGTGATAGGAAAGGAAACGATGTTGCGTTAATGATGGACACTCGACAACGAATGATCATTACGAGTTGCATATATATATATATGCAAGTAAGATGTACACCGATGTTCAAATATATTCGCAAGTAATATAATTATTCGTAAATAAGTATAACAATAATATTAATGTTAAGGCCATTATTATTTATATAGCGTTCAAATGTATATGAAATTTGTAAATACGTCATCGAGAAAAATTGATAATTGTTTCTTCTCGTATGATTTTTTTTGTATGAGAAAAAGAGGACCGATGGATTTTTAGCTATTGAGCCCGGCTGAAAATCTATCCTTTCCTCGTTTGTAAACGAGAAATTATTTATAGATTATAAATAAACGTTTCTGTATTAATCGTTTTACTTTTTTCATTGTATCCCTTTTCCAATTTCGTGATATAACAGGTGAATATCGAGTACAGCAAATATAATCCAAATAATCCATTAAAATTGAATATATATATGGTATATTATATATTTTTGTTAGATTCTATACTACATGTGAAACAAATAATAAAATAGGAGTCACTTGGATATGTTTCTTTTCATAAAATGAATTTTCTATTGTTTTTAATCTTTAAACATCCTCGTTGGCCGAGTTAATATCGAGATTTATCGGGAATTTTCTCTTTGAAATCTCTATCTTTAAAGAATACGAGATATAATGAAAATATCTCGGCTAAGAGAAAATATCGTAAATATCTTTGTGTCGCTAAAAATTTCTTATCGGTCTACATGTTCTATATTCTAGTCTGAAAATTGTTCGATCAAACAATTGTCATACCATAAACGATCTCCTATTACACGATCTCGAAAACAACGAGAAAAAATTCTAATCGGTGGATCAAAGAGAATCGAATTTGTTGATCATTCGTGACACCTGAACGATTAATCATTTGAAAGTACGTAATCAAATGTTAAATCTATTTTACACCCACTTGTCATATATACGTATCGCGTGTCATGTTCAGAATGTAGCAACTGGTATAATCAAAATCATAGTGGAAACCATATTACATTCATGCACGAAGGTATACAATTATGTAAATTATCGATCTATCCTCCTGAATATAAATTAGATTTGGACGAAATTTATCTATAAATTAAATTAAAAAATAATAATTTGTAATTATTAATTGTATTTCAATTAACGTCATATTCTTTGTATGATCAATTAAAATAATTTAAATAATGATGATGATTTATTACAATGATAATAAATTGAATTATTTAATAATATAATTATTTGAAAAATTAATAACATTTAAAATAATTATAAATAATTATAAATACAATAATAATTATGTAAGAATAATTTAACAAATAACAAATACCATGTTTCGACTAGAACAAATAAATTTAATTGCAAATATATTTACCTTTCACATAAAACACTTTGCGTGAAATATTTGTATTATTCAAATAATTTTGAATAAAAATTTGAATAAATAAAATTACTTTGAAAAAGTAATTTTAAAAAATAATATAATTTGAGAATAATTTGAGTACGTTTGGATTTGATATGAATATTCAAAATATTAATGAATCACTGTATTAAAACGGAAAGATTCACAAATTCATGAGAGATTTTACTTCCATCAAATTTGACAATTTGCATTTTAATTTTATTAATCAAAATTATTTTCTTTCATAACGATAATAACCGAATTCAATCCTGAATTTTTCCGTGAAAATTTTCGTCGAGAACGTACGAGAAAATTAATATTTCTAAGAATTATATTTTTTCAAAAATAATATATTCTGATTTTTCAGTTCATTTTATTCCGTATATCAACAAAAAGGATGTTTCGAATATGATTGAAATTTTTTAGAACGCAAAATGTGAGATTTATTCTTTTTTTTTTTTCGTCTCAAATACATTTTTAAAATAAATTGAATAGAAATTTCATTTTTGAAAAGGCTGATGTTGAAACAATTCGTAAAAAAATTTTGTTATCTTTCTATTTTTTTCATAATTTCTTCTTCGTTTCTTTCAATTATTCTCTTATATTTATATTCGATTAACAATATTTTAGCTATAGGATTTATTAATTTCTTTAATTATGTTTAATATTTCTTGTAAATTGATATTTCCCCGATTGAAAATTATTTTTATTTATATTTCGTATAATTTCATCTAAAATTTGAATTTATTTACATATTGAAAATTAATATCATTCAAACTATAAATATTCTAAATTAAAATTCTAAAGTAAAATTCAATATTATTTAATATTATTAAATAATTATAATAATTAAATAATTTAATAATATTATTCAATATTATTTTAATTTTAATTTTTCATCAGAGATTCTCAAATATTGCTTAAAATATGATTTTCTAAACACGATTGGTCCCGATAAAAAAATAAATCATGTAAGAAAACAGATGTAATCTTTTTTTCAGCTTCTAAATGATGATGTAAAAAAAAATGAAAATAAAATCGTCAATTATTCTGAAGTACAAAAGTACTTTTGCCATGTGAAATTCTCAATTACGGTTCAGTACACGTGTTATTCATAGTTCTAAAAACTTCTTTCCATTCTACACCATTACTTTACATCATTCTTTCACTCTACATCATTTGTTCACTTCGAAACGATACTCAAGTTCACTCGTCACGTAAAATATTATTTATTCGATCTATTGAGAGACGTTATATTTTTCAACGAGAAATGAAAAATATTATAACACGACACTTTGATCATGATTTATGTGCTTACAAAACTTATTTTCGAGAAAAATATTGAACCTTGTATTTAAAATATCTTAAATTGTATTTAGACTTATATTTTTCGTGTACATATCAGAATTGCAGTGCATTATTTATCAAATTGAAGGAGAATTCATCGGTTTTCCTCGTATTCGTATCTCTCGCAGAAATTGCTTCGTTCTGTGTCGCCTTTTCTAATTGAGTTGTACCTCTCAATTTGTAATGAGAGAAGCACTTGCAAATACAACGTTCGTCTTTCATCGTACACATCTATCATTGAAAGGATTTCAATTAATTATTCTATATATTGGATCAAATTGCATACGCTCTCCTTTCCTCTAAACTCTTGTTACATAGAGATATTAAACAATTTTTGAATTAACGAACGAAATTCCATTTCAAAATCAACTTCAGAATGTTTCGTAATATCGCTATAATATGTAATGATATGTTGATTCTCTAGAACAATTCCAGAAGAATTTATTACATTTTCCGATTGTTGAATAATCGTTTGTATTTCGTTCATAAAGTGAAGAAGTATGACTCTGTGATACGTTAATGAGGGATAATATTGTAATGATAATGAGTCTCATAAAAGAAAAAAAGAGGAGAATGAAAAAAGAAAAATGCTTGGACTTTAATCAACCCTTTGTTTTAGAGAATCTTTTGGAAATTATTTGCACGAGAAGAATAATTAAAGGACTTATGTTAAGAAATTCCATTGAAATAAATCTTTCTGTGGAAGGCATGTGTAAAAGAATCATAAAGCATTATAATACTTCAATATATCACTTTGAATATTAAGGATAATTTAATTAAGGACATCATTATTTAATTAAATTTAGAAGGATTACAACTTAATAATATTAAATTAATTTCTTGAGCAAAAATTCTTCAAAGATTTCAAATATGATTTCATTTTTTCAAATAAAGATATAAAATACGATAGAAATTTATTTTTTATATATATAAAATATATTTTATATACTCTTGAATGCTCATAAAATTCTCTCTAACGATACGGATTCAAAAATCAAGGGATGATCTTTTTTTTTATTCTTTCATTTCAGAAAGAAGTCAAACGAGTTATTCCAATTATTTGTTCTATATTATAATATAATCAAAAAGAAATTCCAAAATTTTCAGCGTTTCGACTTAATGTATGGATGAACATGGAAATGAACATTAACGAAACGATTTAAAAATGCAATTTCAATGAAATTGAATCCAAAAATTATGACTACGAACTCGAGAAAAAAGTTATTCGAACTTTTAATCAAGATATGCCCGTTTCTTCCATTAACTATGGAAACTCGATATTGCATGTGACAAATCGTTCAAAGAAAACTAAAACTTATCATAATTGTCTTACATAAATAATTTACAAGGACTTAGTTTAATTACTTCCTTAATATGCTCATTTCCGTATTACGATTCAATGAAAATGTTACAGAATAATTCCTTATAAGGAAAGGTGAAGGTGAAACTTGATAAAGAATGTCGTATTTATATAAGTCAAACAAAAGATAACCTAATGATTCTTAAAGACAAATCATTAATAACAATAATCGTTAATAATCTTTAAACAATAAATCGTGAACGAAGCAATATTAATCCTTGATATTTTTAAAACCGTTGGAATTATAAGTATTACGAGTTAATGTAGCGTTATCCGAAAAAACTTAATGAGGAAACTGGCTCTTGACACGTGGAACGCGAAACGAGCAAGACTAAACGACAAAATATTCAGTAGATAATGAGAAAGAAAAAAGAAGAAACCTAGTCTATTGGAAAAATGCACTTGATACAGGATAAAATTATTTTCATCATCTGTAAAAAACATTTTTATAAATTTTAAATTCATTTTAAAATTTGAAACTTTTTCAGTGAAATAATAAATTCATATTTTTATACCTTTAATTTCTTGGTTTCTGCCCGTTCTTTTTAATTTATATTTCTTTATTTCCATTTTCATTATTTCAATATTACGTATACATTGTTATTTACATCTTTGTTGGAATATTCTTTTATAGAATTATAATAAGCTAATTCATAATATCCTCATTTAAAGTAAAAATAATGAAAAAATTTGATACACACGAAAGATTAAACAAGTTTTTTAGAGCAAGGTCTTTGATTTCAAGAAAAAGATAATCCGTTTTAAACTTCGTCCGAGTTAAGTACCCTCGTCTCCTCCTCTTCTTTACCGTTTACTCTTTCTTGCTGAAGTTTCATCGACAATTTCTTTGCCGTCTGTGTTATCTACCACAGCAAATATAGACAAGATATTAACGCGAAATAATTTTCATTCTCCCCGATGTCGAAAATAAAATACTTGCCTGCGCATCTACGTCAATCACCGCCGTAATATCATTCAACGCAGACAGAAGTTCGGCCGCCATATTCTCCTTACCCTGTGCCTCCAATATTACTGCATAATTAATTAATACAAAGGGATCTTGCGGTGAAAGAGCATGAGCTTTTTGCAATACTTTCTCCGCACCTTCCAAGTCGTCTAGACGTTTCAAAGCGACTATAACAAACGATTCAGCGTTTTAATATCATTCATTGTTACGCCGAGTGACAATGGAAAAAGAAGAGGAATGGATATGGTTAGAATTTCTTATACTCGACAATAACACAATAACGACATATCTTTTATCATTGTAAAAATAATTGTCGTCTTATTATAAAAATGTGGACATTTGCTATTACTATTAAGAAGAATTTTCCATTAAGAAAATATTTGATAAACGTGAAGATAAAAGGTGACTCATTAAATTAAATAAGATCAATTTGAAATCAAAGGCTGACTTTAAGTGTATTCTAGTTCTTTTGTGATGTGTATACATCATGCAAATCTACATTTATCTATTTGCCATAGGATATTTACAGAATAAAATAATCTATATTTCTCTTTCAAAGAAATTTTATCCTATTTAACTATTCTTTATCGAAATTAGAATTGGTCTTTTTCCTAATATCTTTTCTAATTGAGAGTTGAAATGCTTTTCAAAGGAATTATATATATAAAAGAAACCTTACTTCCAAGTAGAAGATACGGCATTGAATTTTTTGGATCAGCAGTAATCGCAGCGCACAAATAAATTGCGGCCGAGGCTGGTTGACCGGTAGTCAAAAAAACCATACCCAAATTATAAGCGGGTAAAAAAGCCATGGAATTGAGATAATGAGCTCTCTTCAAACAACTAATAGCCTGAAAATAATTAATAATATAATAATGAAAATTAATTATCAAAATTGGAAATCGAATTAGCAATCGAATTAATCAAAAATTGGTCGAAATACGACAGAATAAATATTCGATTATTAATTATTCAATCGAGAAAAACACTTGTTTTAATTCTTCTACATCGAAAAAAATCCATCTTCTTATCGACGATAAAGTAGCTAAAATTAAGTTCTAAGTTTGATTTATTTAATTTCAAAGTCTGAGTCCATTCAACTACGATAACAGCGAAGTAAATTAAGAAATTTCTGGTTCATGTATGTTTGTTGGATTCTAAGCGCAGAATTCTCTATTATCGGGATAGAAATATTTAATAATATCTGTAGATTAATTCTATTTATAGTAATATTTCGATAAAAAATAAAAAAGAAAATTTCTTTCTGTATCAGAATAATTGAAAGGAAAAGATTTGTCGTGATAAATATTTCTTTCCCAAGCTTTTGTTAAATTATATTAAAAAAAAAAAATAAATTCTTATATTTTGGATGATGTGGTATGTTTTAATCTTTTTCTTTTTTTTTTTTTTTTTTGCTTTTCTTTCAAAAGAAATAAAAAATATATTTCTTTCTCGATTATTGATATTCAATCGAATTTCGATTAAATATGCTCATAATATATTTTAAGTGTTTTCTCGATAGCAGTCCAGGTTCTGCATTAGTAAATAATTCAGCACATTATTTTCATTCTAGTTTTCTCTCGCCTCGACTACAACGGTTACATTGCAAGTCTTTAATTAAGTTCTTTTGGGTCGCAAGTGCGTCCTAGTCATTATTCTGAAACTCCGTCTAGTACAGATATCATTAATTAATTATCGTCATTAAATTCGATAATATACGTACATAGATATTCTCAAGAATAAAGAAAAATATTATATTCTCAAGAAAAAAGTTACAATTTTTTCTCTTTTAATTTTTACAAACATTGTGAATTGTATTTGAATAATATAAACAGTTTGTCACAATGTTATATTATTAAATATTATAATTTTTTTTTTTGCTGTGAATTTTCTTAAAGCTCTTTAAGCTTTAATAACCTAAATTATGTTACTTAAATTATATAAATATAATGTAACAAAATAAGAATTGTGTAAAAAATTAAATTTATATATTATTATATTATAAATATACTTACAGCAACGAATTTCTGCTTGCCGTAAAAACACATTCCGACATTATTCCATAAAGCATACGATTCTGGAATTGATTGCGCTGCCTGTTTATACTTCGACAATGCAACATCATATTCTTGGTGATTCTGAAAAGTATAATGAATATATTAATTGTCAAATAAAATGAATTTTAAAGCATTGCTTATCTTTAATTAAATTCTTAAAAAATATTATTGAAATACTGGCCATGCTTTACACAAACACTTTGCTCTGTAAAAACTCATTTCGTTTCACATCTTTATTCATGCCAGTGCAAAGACGAATAAATTATAGATAAACGAAAGAAAATCTTTCTTTTCAATAGAAAAATCCTTTATAAGAAATCTAAATTTTCTATCAAGTTTATTATTTATAAATATGCAAAAGATGTGCAAAGATGATTCTCAAGTACTTTTATCAAGTTCCTTAATAAAACAAAACTTTTATCATCAAATTCTTTTTGTTTAAACTTTAACATAATATTTAAGATATAAATGTTTTATCTTAAATAAAGATAAGAAAGTAAAGATAAGAGAAATAAAAATCTTAAAATGAATTGTTTAATATAGAAAAAATTCCACATTCGAAGTAATATCATAATCGATATATTTAAAAATATATAGAAATACATTTACTTGGATTATGTAAGCTATTGGAAGAATTGCCTTGGCATAATTTGGAGAATGGGCGATTGCAGTACCAAATTGTTGGAATGCTCGTTGAACATCACCAATTTTAAGATAGAGCAATCCTAATTCAGTTGCAGCTTCTATACTTTCAGGATTTTCGCTAAAAGAACCAAGAAATGAGATAAATTTTTAAAAGAATATTTGCAGAAATTTTATGATTATCCGTAGATAAAATTTCTCAATAAGGTATTTTTATCTCTCAATAACCTAATCAATTTTTAGAATCGAATTATTCTTAGAATATTATTTTTAGAATCATATTATTATATTATTATATTATTTATATTATTTTTAGAATCATTCGAATATTTCAGAATCTTCTTTTAGCGGAATAAAAGATTATATTATTTTATAATTTTTGAATTTAAGATAATTTCTTTTATTAACTTTTATCTAATCATATTTGAAGAAAAGTATAAATTGATCAAAATAATAAAATTATAAAAAAAATATTATATAATTGTTTTAAAAAAATTAAATAATTGATATTTTAATACATTTCAATAAAACAAAAGTAACAATATTTTTAAAAATTTGGGCACAGCGAATTTTCATAAAAAAATTTTAAATTCAATTAATATGTTTCAAATATACGAAAAAAAGTAACATGTTAATCAATAATAAATTATTATCTTATGTCGTTTTTGTTAACTTTGCATTTTTTTAATCTGGAATCTATAGTTAGAATTTGTAATAAGAGGTAGAATATAATACTCCAAAGTATTACATCGTAAACAAGAACATTCGAGACAATAATCTCGCAACGATGAAGAATTAAATCTGCACGCGCAAGATGTTTGTGAAATAAGATGAGATGTTCATCATAAAATATATTAAAATAAAAAATAAATATATAATACCTAAGAGCAGTTGTATAAGCGTTCTGTGCCTCTGTAACATGATTTTCGAAAAGACAAAGTCTGGCAAGTGCAATATAAGGTAGTTCATTTTTCGTTAATTCGATCGATCTTTTTAAATATTTTTTTGCTTCATATATCTGATTCAATTTCATGTAACATTCGCCTAAAAAATAAAAATTAGCAATTAAAACTAAGAAATTTAATATTTTTCTTATTATATTACTATATATTCAATTTTTGTATATTTATATTATATATATATTATATTATAATATAATTAATATTTATATATATTATATTATATTACTTATAAAAAATTTAATGAAAAAATTTAATACATGCCTAAATTAAAATAAATCTCCCAATCTGATATATTCGATATTTTTTCAGCTTCCAAATACGCGTCAATTGCACGTTTATGATTACCCATTATCAAACTGTCAAATTATATATTATTAAATAATATTAATATTTATTGATATAAAGAATTAATACTTGCTATTTA